AGAATGGCTCACACCTTGGACTCGAAACCGTCTTACAAACCAGAAAGCTTTACTAAGGAAGGAAAAGAAGAAGGACAGGTAGTCTGAAGTAAAGAAAAGAGCAAATAACAAACAAAAAACAATAATACAAACTTCGCGGAACTAGGCGATGCCCGATAGTGCTTTTTGTGGTATGTTTGGCCATGATCGTTCATGCCTACGAAAGGTAATTAGCACACATCAACACAAACATCTTCGGAGAACGCTTTTCTTGATTACATTTCCCTGGACCCACGATTGCTCAAAGAGTACATTTTCCGAAGACGTTCTTCTTCACCCAGCCATGGAGCCCACCAAGATGTCAATTTCTTTATATCCACCGGCCATGGCCTACGGGTTGCCGGTGTCATTGTCAGGAATCACACCGTCCCTGTTCCGTTCACTGTTGACTCAATGGGGGTCGGCGCATCATTTCACTATGCTGGACTCTTGAAGACTCACTTAAATAGTTGGAGCAGAGGATCTATAGAGGAAAGAACCTGTCGGGAGCCTGTGCTAGGCATTTACCATGTCTGGCCTGGGCGGGTGGCCTAGCACTTCAAGCAAGATGTTTCACTAGGCTTCGATTTCAGACAACTTCCAAAGTTGTTTCGATGCACTGTGTATATTTCGGACATTTGTGATGCAACTGCTTTCTGCATCCGTTCCTTCCCAGACTCACTGCTTGCGCTGCGGGTGATTCAGCAAAGCTTTTCCTCCAGCCCCGCATTCGTGCAGGTGGTGCAATGGTTTGTTTTGTGCTTGAAACATTTGCACAGGGTCATTGGTGTGACAGATGCATTATTGAAGCTTTGCAAAAAACACTTTGCAGGCACCATTGAGCCATGCGCCCGCTGATCATGTGACACTTCACCGGGCAAGAGTTGGTGCTGCCAAGCCGCCGCAGAAGGCTTTCAAATTCACGTAAAACATGGATGGTAATATTACTAGTAGCTTCTTGTTACTACTAGTAAGGCACTTGTTACTAGAAGCGATGCACTTGTTACTAGTGGCTATATTATTAGAGTTCTCATGAGTTTCATGAGTTTGCACAGTTTGCAGTAGAATCTGCGCTTTGATTTCCTTGATTCCGTGAGCAGGCCGCATCACAACCAAGCGGTGCTGCCAATGGGATGCTTCTCGGTGCCAGTGCTGCATCGGCAATGCTTGGATGCCGTGTTTTGCGCAAGGTGTGGTGGGACGGAAATAGGACACCATAAGGATCCACAAGGTGGATTCTTTAGGATTTGGCAAAACCAACGTCTGAAACTCTTCTTTCAGTGTGCTAGAGAGGTGGGTGAAAATAAAAGTCGTGCGAACTGAAAGGAGTCAGTGGAATTAAAAGCCGGACATGAAAAGTCATTGCTTTACGTATTGAGAACCCACCCAGCCAAGAACATACAAACTCAAGCTTAGTCGTCCCCAACAACAACATGTTCACAAAAGGACATTTGCTTAGCAAACAGGATCTTTACAATGTGTTTTGTGTCCGTGCTGGCATGTTGTATTCTTTGGAGAACCATGACAACTTTCTTACCACTGCAAAGATTGTGCAGGCCAATTGTGTATACGTTGCGAGTGTCCAGTTTTTTCGTTTGCCCGTCCTCCTGCCTATCTGATTGAGCGTGTTGCTGTGATTCGCTTGTGTTCACTAGAATCACCGGATCTTAGCTGTGGCAGGCTGGCTGTGTCAAGGTGTCCACCCACATGTAATCAAGATGGGAACATGTCAGGTGATTGGCCGTCGATCACGCCAAGCCAAGGCTGGCCAATTGTGCACAGTACAACAGCATCAACCCCCATAAATGTTGATGCTGAATTTTGGGTTGTTTGGATCTGTCTAATCTGACCACACTGTGTTCCAGCTTCTCTGGTAGGTGTTGCGCCGGCAGGGTCCTTTGCTAAAGGACGGAATGTTCTCAGCACCTTCTTGGCTAAAGGAACTGAGATGAGCTACCTCTTGGTTTGGAGCTTCAAGAGTTCAGAGTTAGAATTGCAAAAGCAACTTCCCACAGGAGCGAACGGAGGCAGTTGCAACAGAGGAGGATGCTGCACAATTGGCAGAGAGGCTGGGGTTGGCAAGGCTATTTACAAGAATTGCCGACTAGAATTTCAGAATCCGAAGGCTCAGTTGGAATTGAGACATCGTCCTTATATATATATAGAAAGTGCAAGTAACCCCATGAGGGATTTGGGTATGCTGCATGCTGCAGAGGCAGCTTTGATTTTTTTGATATCTGCAGTTTGGAAAGAGGTGCTTTTGAGAAATCCCAAAGAGAATGCCACTCTCAGGTCACTCAGGTCGGTTTGCTTGGACTGTTTAAGGCCTGCTTGGTCTCACGTCTTGCACCCCCGATTCACCAAGACCGTCGACCGGCTCTGCAGCCGGTTGAAACGCTCGCAAGGCTACAGTTGGAGGCTGCCAAGCTCCGGGCAGATATCGAAGAGTTGGAGGCTGATCCGATGTCTGCTTCTCTCTCACCTTCAACATGCAAGAAAAAGGGCGATGAACAATTCTGGTGGATCAGTGATTCCAACTTTAGTGGGTTGGGATTTTGGTAACTTGAGGCTACGGTTATGTGATCTGGCAAATCACTGAAAGCATTTACCCGACATGCGCCGTGACAACATTCCAGGCGATCTCTGCAGCGGAAGAGAGGCACAGGGACAAACGGGAGCTTCTGATGGCACATGGAGATGCAGAATATCCTGAAAGGTCCTGAACGATTCCAACCCTAGGAGAAGTGGACACCATTTTCTCTTGTGAAACTTGCAGAAGAAGATCAGGGCCACTTGAAAAATGTGATTTGCCTTAAGTGTGTGTTTGTTCTTTGATCCTTTTAGGGTTACAACTGAGTCCTTCGAAACAGACTCAAACAACATGAGGACAGGTAAGACAACATGGTGTCCAACAGGGTGTGAATATACAGTATATACATGCATACTATTGCAATGTGATGCCCTTTGGTCCAATCTTAAACTGTTCTTTATCGCCCTCAAGAGCCATTCAGGAATGCTTTTTAGTCTGTCATTGAGTCTGTCATGATGGAATGCTTTTGTGATCCGCAGGCGAAAGAGATTGGCCTTGTTTCGCTCCTGGGATTTGGATAGCTCGGGAACGCTCGACGAAAAGGCGAGCACGGCGAGATTTTGAGTGCTACTATGCCACTATGTGCTAGTGCACTTGAGTTGCATGCTTCTTAAGTTTATACAGAATGAGGCACATGGTTTTGGATAGCAGCGATGTTCATTTGATCAGGTGTGACAAGTCTATCGTTGCATGTGTGACCATCGTTGAACTGGAATCTGCAGGAGCTCCAGTTTGGAGTGAGCCAGGATGGGCGCCTCGAAATGCTTTGGACGACCTCTTGGGACGCAAATCGGCATCCTTGCTCCGTTCGTAGCGATGCCCTTTGCTACTCGTAGGTTCGTGTTACTAGTAGAAAGGCCAGGAGCTACCAGTATGGTCATTGCTTCTAGTTTCAAGTGCTGTTGACAGACTTAAACTTCCTTGACCACTAGAAGAGCACAAGCGAGTTCCGTTTGATTCAGATTTTGCTTCCTACTTATAACCTGACTAGTAGACTAGATTGGATGGTCAGCATCTAGACAGAACGCTTAGCAATCTGCCTGCACTGGCCCGTAGAGGCCAGTGATGTTTTGCACCACTTTTAGATACCTGACTCAAGAGCACGTGGGACTTTCAGTGCGATACTGCCTCCTTCTTTGTCAAATATCCACCAACGCTGAAATGCTGAGATGATCTAGAATGATTTGAGACTCGATCGACTCGATTGCACCAGGAATGCAAGATTGAGCTTGACGACGCCAAAGCCCATCGGCTTTTGGAGGTTGGCGATGAGGAAACGAAAGAACCCAGCGAGTACTTGGCACCTTCAAAAGGCGAACTTGGCCTTCAATAGCGTCCTTGCTCCTAGTCGCCATGCCAGGAGCCCCTAATAGCTTCTTGTTCCTAGTAGTAAGGCCAGGAGCCCCTAGTAGCGTCCTTTGCTCGTTTGTTTCATTCCCACTAACATTGTTAGAACTCTGTTGCTGATAGGAATAATCCCCAAATTTAATATATGTCTTGCATTTCTCGTGAATTGAATCTCTGGAAGTGGCCTTCCTGTTGTCCAGGTGCCAAGATCCGCCCATGTTATCATCACAATTTAGCCAGGCACTGGATCAGAACGGAGACGGTGTCTTGCAGACCGAGGAGCAGTTATTTGTGCAGTTGCTCTTGTGATAGTTGAGCCCTCCCTGTTCAGAAAGAAAGCAAATGAAGAAAGAAGGGAAAGACAAAAGAACGGCCAGAAAACAGACTAAGGAAAGGAATCGAAAAGGAACATAAACAAAGTCAAAAGCAAAGTTGAACTTTAAAAAAAGCAGTAAAGACGGAATGTAAAGACAGAGTAGATCCTGACTTGTACCAAGAGCTCGGCCAGGAGTTCAGCCTTCAACGTGCCTCGGCCAAGAATATATTTTTTTGTTCCAACTTCTTTTAAGTCGAGTACGACTTGTACGGCTTGTACTGTTCAGATTCCAGATCAAATCACCCTGTTTGGAGGGCAATCGAGGTTGATACCCTTGCTGTTAGAGTAGAATTGTTGTGGCTAATAATTATACTATAGTTTTCCTTGGGACGCAACAGCTAATGCGGGACAAAAATCGGAACCACATCTCTCTTTCACTTGGGAGTCTTTACGGCTTGAAGTCAACAAGCTCATGGAGCAACCCTCTGAGGTGTTGAGCAGACCCTGCAGGAGTTTGAGAAAGAGGAGCTTGTTTTGGGAGGTCTTCCTTGCCCACTCCTCCATTGGCTTTCTCAGTGCTTTCTAGCATGACATTGCTTCCCTAGGCTGCTTTGTTCCGTGCAGTGTGCACCCAATAAAACCCACATCTTGGCATGGATTTCGTCCTGACGCAGCAGCGGGTGTCGGTGGGTACCAGAGATCAGACAGGAGAGGAGAATCGAAGAAGAGATGCGTGCAAAGGAGCGTGAGAGGCAGGAGCAGGCCGGGATCTGGGTCATGGCCAAAGGGCGGGAAAGCGCGGTCTGAAAGGTTGGTTCTTCAAAGACCTTGCTGTTTGTGAGCGTTTCTGATGAACAAGCCAGGAAGAGCTGGAACGGCAGAAGCAAGAGTTTCTGGCAAGCCTGCCAGAGCGGAACGAGGTGCCCGTGGCACTCACACACCCTCGTGTTTGGAAATGCTCAGGGGCGAGCGGTCCTTTGACACTCTCACAAACCATGATGAGATTGATATGGGTGTAGATTTGTCTTGCATTAGCAATAAAGGCAAAAAACAAGCAACCAAACTGTGAACCTTGACGTAATCCTTCTATCGCAAGTCCATGAGCCATGTGCATGTTGGATAAGCATTGACAACATGCCTCTGATACCTCTTGTCACACCTCTGACAAGGGTTGAAAGTCAGATAATGTCATATATCTAAAGGCTTAAGCTCGAGTTCCCAAACGACAGTCTGCAGAGTTTCTGCGGAGGACGACAGTCTGCCAACCCGCTTGATCGCTGCTTGTGCATACATGCTGCCACTCCTGGATGCCGCTGAGCGCCGGGGAGCTTGGGCCGTTGGCGATTCAGATGATTTTGTCGGGATCAAGTCTTTTTCACGGTGGTTGTGGCCGAACGTGGTGCAACGAGGTCCTCCTGCCCAAAGTTGGCCGACTCGGTGGTAGCTGGCTCCTTTCTTTTTCAGCCTCTCTCTTATTTTCTCAGGCTTTGGTTGGCCTTTGGCGCTCATGAACCCAACGATGGCAACCTTTATGCAGGCGCTCAATGCCCTTGCCTCAGAGCAGTTGGGTAACTAGCAATTGTCAATGTGTTGCTGTGCCGGGTGCACCTCGCAAGGCACCGATGGCATTGCTCAGTGCTGTTCCGTTCGGCCTTGGCCTGGGGGCTTAGCTGCTGAGGCGTTGTGGACATCATAGTAGACGGATCACAGTTTTTAGTGCTTCTTTTTGATCTTAGATTCGTAGACTTCTTGTCGGTCGTTTGTCATTGCTGCATTTTTTCATTCAGAAGTGTGCTCTGAGGATTTTTGCTCGTCTTCATTGGCATGCAGTTTGTAGCGAACAACCCTGAAAACCCAGCCTTGGTGCGCTACAACATGAGGCACATGTGAGTGCTGGCATGCAAGTGCAAGCGTGGAATTCCCCGCCTCTCCAGGAAGGGCATTTGAAGTATTTGTGAATGGGTCTTCGTCAGAATCAGCACTCCAGCCCTCCCCTGCAAATTGATTTGCGAGTGGACATGGCAGAGCCACACTTGCTGAAGCATTTCATAGATGAGTGAGTCGGTGTAAAGCAAGCGCACAATTAGAAAGTGTATTATTAATCATATCAATTTTTGCATGCACATACAGATGCACATACCCCAGGCTTTATATTGCCCCGAGTGGCCCGTCGCGCAGCTAGGGAACGAGCTTTTATGCTCTTTTCGCTTTTGGTTTCAAGCTGTTTGAAGGGTTTTTCACCTGCGGGTGCGGTGACACCTGCGGTGAGATGCCGGGGCTGTGGGTTCACCTGCCGGATAACCCTGAGTACTTCAGGGAATTTGATGTGGTTGAGAATGCTTACTATGAGTTGAAGTTGTATGACGACGATGCAGGTGCCCAGGGAACAGGATTGTGGCAGGTGACCCCCATGATAGAGCGAAAAAAGGAAGGTATGTGGGTACAGGGGCGACTCATCGCTGACCGAGGGAGATGGACATTCGCATGAGCGGACATTTGTAATCCATTTTTGTGCCACCCCCTCATCAGGACGTAGAAAGACCAAAAGGCACAAGGAACAGGAGTTCCTTTCTGATACCTTTCGTGAAGTGATCTCAGGAGATATCATTGGGAAAAGGATCGGATGGCTCAGAAACGATGTTGAGAAGAAAGATGTGGATGCAGAGGTGGCAGTGCAGCGCGAAAGTCGCTCTCATGTGATTGTAGACACGATGAAAGACATAGATGGCGCTCGATCGATAATGATTTGCGGCAGGGAGAGGCATACATGCACTGTTCGGCTGCAGGAACCGGAAGGAGTGTGTATTGGAATGCGTTTGCTTATTACTTTGTGCCTACTGCAAAAGACCTAGAGAACACCTGGACCCATGCTATTTTTTTGCTTTCCCTGGACACCGGACACCCGACCGTTTTGGCAAGGTTGATTCGAGACAGAAAGCCGAAAAGGGTCAACGCCTGGATTTTGGCAAGACAATGCGCGAGCAAGGGATTCGAACGGCAGATGAGTTTTTTGCTGTTGCAAAGCTGACAGTGGTGATGACCGTTGGCTGACTGTGGCCTATGGGACGCCGCTTTGGAAAGTCCATGAGCGAATTGCAGCTGTGTGGGCCGTTGAGTCAGCTCGCCACAGATTAGAGGCAGCCACTCATTTGCGTGTCGCTTAGCCTTTTTTCATCTCAGTTGATGGTTGTGTTCATGGTATTTTTGAAAAGGGCAAATTGACATTCACTTTCGTATTCGTACGGCGTGTGGCTGGGGCTTTCGCTTTTCCCTGCCAATGGCTTGGGCTGTGCCTAGGGTCGTGGAGCGGACATCGCTCCGAACGTGGCGCCGACACTGCCGCTCGCCGCGTCGGCGTTCCTCGATGAATCGTGCTGCAGCCGAGGAGAGGTCCAGGTGGCGCGTGTGTCCGAAGTCGCGCAGCCAAGGAAGTACCAAGAACAGGTTGAAGTCATGCAGCTCGTCTACAGGCTGTTGGTTGCTCGCGTGCGAATGAGTAACTGTTTCCGCGGCCCAGACTTCGACGAAAGTATTCTGTCTAGGCCGTCGCTCTTAGGGTTGAGGCCAGCGCTAGTAGGGTGGAGGCCATCGTGTGAGTTTGAGTGTTCCACTTGGAGGGTCCAGCTAGTTCCAACTTGGAATCAGACTAAGGAGCAAGACACAAGTGTCGCAGATGTTGGGCTCCCCTTCCACAGTAACAGTCGTAAAGGGTCAGGGCCTTTAAAACCACACACCAAAAACCACAATCATATTTAGTGTCGTTTAAGGAAATTGGATTGCAAGTTCTGGTCTAGGAAACGCACAATGATTGGACCAGTGGGCGGGTTCTGGTCTAGGAAATGCAAAATGATTGGATCAGTGGGCGGGTTAACTCTAAAGTTCAATTTTGCAAACCAAAAACAACCAACATCATCCCTTCACATCCTTCACTAATTGGACAACCTCAAATGGCAATTCAAAGAATGAGTGACCCTACTTACCGCAAGATTAATATTTTGCTCATGTAGTTTGGTGCGCCCATGGGATATTCAATAGTTCAATGACTTGACTTAACTTATTGGCTTATTCTAATGGGTTGCCAATTTCATCTTAGTTTCACCGCTGTATCAGTGCAGCCTCTTTCAAATGTAATGTAAGGTAAGTAAATCAAACCAAACCCACCCATAGGCGAAATACCCACTGGGCAATTGACAATATACCCGGGTTCAATTTCAACGAAAGACTTAAGAATACGGTCAGCTGACAATATAACTTTTCACACCCTCCAGCCCAGAACTATTTATCCCCCTCTTGATTGAATCTTCTAAAACAAATCAAGTCCTTCTACGCAACTCGCACCCGACCCCAACCAAACCCTAAGTTAGCAAGAGTCCAAACTGTCCAAAATGATATGGTATAAATAAAGGCTCAAGACTGGAACGGTAGCAGGTGGCCAGGAGTTTTGTGCTCTCGCAGCCAAAGGAAGAGGGAAAGGAAGGGGGAAAAGGGAGATTATGATTACATTTGGAGCAGGATGAGAGCCAAGTCCAAGTTGGCTCTGGCTCCCGGCCCCCCGCCCAAAATTTTCACAAAGGTTCCATTTCCTGCGCTTGATTGATTCTGTTTCGTACCACGCAAAATACAACAAAAAACCACAAACGCGACCGCACATCGCGCAACAAAAAGCCACAAGTCGTACCACAAAAAACCACAAGCGCGACCACAAATCACACCACAAAAATCACAAAATCAATGCGCTTGACCTTGTCTCCTGCCACCCACCTTTGATCTTATACTTATACTCAAAAACCACAAATCACACCACAAAAAATGCCACAAAAACCACAAGTCACACCACAAAAAACCACAAACGCGACCGCAAATCATAGCCACAAAAAACGCAAGTCATACTACAAAAGACCACAAATGCAACCGCAAATCATACCACACAAAATACAACAAAAACCACAAGTCCTACCACAAAAAACCACAAACGCGACCACAAATCACACCACAAAACATATCGCAAAATACAAGTCATACCACAAAAAGCCACAAACGCGATCGCAAACCATACCGCAAAAAATGCAACAAAAAACTACAAGTCATACCACAAAAAACCACGCGCGATCACAAACATTGACACACACCATACCAAACATTGCACCAAACGACACAAATCAGACCACAATTTTGATCAATTTTGTCGTCAGTTTTGTGTTTTTTGGGTTGAGTTCCTTTTCGTTTCTTTTAAAGAGAGGGCTATGAGTTTTCTATTGGTTTAATAAAGCAGGCGCCCCCCTGCCGCCCAGCCAGGCTCCGCCCAGCAGCAGCTCATTTTCTTTTCTCCGGGCGATACCATCAGCCAAACTATCGGTGAATGGTGTGCTGAGATTCTGCAGATTCGTATGGGCACACGGGAGACAAGTGGGGGACAAGGGTAAAATCATTCGCCCAAGAGCATGTGAATTGCCGGTCCTCACCTTGAGCCTATTGAACCAAACATTGAAAGAAGCCCAGGAGGTCCAAGTTGATGACAGCAAGCTGGAACGGTTGACTGTTTGACAGTTCGTCTCTGTGGCTTACTTCGTAAATGTACAAATTGTTTGGTGGATGCTGACTTGTGGGTCTCAGATGGGAAAAGGCTTCTGATGTACTTGAGGGGTGTGTGCGTGTACCACCATTGTAGACAGCGTGAAAGAGGCAAATGAAAGTCATCCAGGTGCAAATTGTGGCTAGGCTATATTGCGGTGCTTTTCATGGTAGGACTTGTGAGGTCACTGTTAGTGTGCCTGGGCAGAGCCCAACACAGATGAATGATTCCCCCTAAACAACTGAGACCAGAAGAAGAAGAAGGAGGTAACCAGATGTGAGTAGAGCTGTGAGTAGAAGCAGGTGAAGGTAAGCAGGTTTTCTGGGCAGGTGAAGGCAATCAGATTATCCCTTGCCGGATCCCCCGGAAGCTGAGGGCTGCTGAGAAGTTCTGAACGTCGTTTTATGCAACGCCTAAAACTAGATGGATCTAAGTGTAGAATGCCAAACTCCAAGGGACTGAAAACTTTGGTACACTTCTCGATTTGAAATCCCGATGCACTTATTTTCCGCTGCTCCCACGACTCTTCGAGTTACGCGGCTTGCCAAGATTGGGTCAATCTTGGCGTTCGCTCACATGGATAAAAGGTGGTCTTGACTGAAGTCAAGAGTGGCCAAAAACATGAACACTATCGTTCAAGTGGGCCTTTGGGACCTTCGCGCTGGCTCACAAGGAACTTCAAGAAGTGACTTTTCAGACCCCCTCACAGCACAGCGATCACTAGCTGGAACTCACCAGCATGCGCTTCAGCCACTGTAAACAACTGCCCGTTCAAAGCAGAGACTTTTGCAGCTTGGTCTGCTAAGCCATTGATGGCTGCAATGCGGACATAGAGAGGTGGAGTAGGCGCATGCACTGTGCATTAAAACTGATTCCAAATTAGATACTGCACTCTCATTCACTGAATTGTAGCCAGCTGCCTTGTTCATTATTGCAGCAGGCTCGTTGGGCTTTGCGTTTTGAAGAGGTCACTGGTGGTTCCACCCTGACATAATCAGAAGAACTCCCAGCTCCATCACTCAAATCAACATGCACGTTCACGACAGGCCGCTCACCGGCAGAGCTGCGCACACAAGCATTCACCACAGGACTCGCAGACTATGGGCTCACATTCAGCCTAAGTGCGGCAAATGCGCGTGTCATACAATACGAAAACTTCCTCTGCTTTGTAGCTTTCAAGCTCCAACCGAGAAAAGGCTGCCAAAAGTTGCTGATGACTCGAAAACTGAGTAAAAACTCAAAGACTATTTAGGTTTTGGCTTTCTCCTTGCGCAAAAGGTTCTCTCGCAAAAAAATTCTTTTGGTGCGCCAAAAATCCCTTGGTGCTTTCTGGAAAAATTTCAAAAGAAGTCAAGGATGCTCTGAAGCGCTGCGCGGCTCAGGTTCGTCAGATACAAACCCCACACCGTGAAGGTTTCGAGAATTCAAAGGAACGTGATCACGCTCGCACTTGCGTCGAAAACACTAGATCGGATGGGATGACTGCGCGCGATATGTATGCTTTGCATTGTTCTGCTTTGCGGACATGAGATGACATCGGTCAATGAAAACCTTGTATGGACACAACTCTGTGATGAGTGCTTCCACGTTCTCACTCTTCCAATACCGACAAGCCCGCGACAACTCAATCCATGCGACGTCACACTTTGCAAGGATTTCACGTCCCTGCTCAAGGAGAGCTACAAACTCATCCCAGTACCGCGCGAACCTTGGAACGATGTCTTCTTGCTTCAAAAGCTGAGATCCCCTTGTGCAATTCGGACTGAACCACCCATGATGAGCGTGCTAGGTCTTTCAGTTCGAATCCGCTCCAGAAGGCCAAGAAATTAACAAGCAATTTCTTCCAAAGGATTCCTGTTTGTGGTCTTTTCATGGACAGGTAACCCTCTTGCGCGCACAAATCCAAAGCTAGGACATGGAAATCCCCTTCAGCAAGCCGCTCGAACACCGAACGCGCTTCAAGACACATGTCCCCTGATGAGCTCTGTTCCGGCTATACAAAGGTTTGCCTTGTGTGAATCTTCAAACTCGGCAGTGTCAGCCCAAGTCAGACATGATATCCCTGCAACTGAAAAAGGCATTACAGCAATTATCTCCTCCCACAGCCATTGGGTCATTGGGCCATTGAATGACAAACCAGCAGCTCCTGCCAGTGTTTTGTGAGCGCTGTCAGTCAAGCCGTCCAGCTCGACATCATGTTGTTCTTCCCAATCATCATAGGACAGTTGGGACATTTCGCCTTGGCTTGGAGTCAGGCAGATTCTTGCGCGTTATTGTATGCTTTGTTGTTGTTGTTGTTGTTGCTGCTGCTGCTGCTGGTGTTGGTGGTATTGGTGTTGTTGGTGGTGTTGTTTTTGTTGTTTTTGTTTTTGTTTTTGTTGTTGTTGTAGTAGTAGTTGTTGTTGTTGATTATATTTCAGTTTGCATTGGCCTTTTTGTGATTGCATAAATAGATCAACGGAAACCAACATATTTTGTAGTTTTGGTTAGCCTTAGCTGTGCTGTTGGGGTAGCCGAGTTGGGATGATGGGTGATGTGAAAACCAGAATTCAGTTTCGCGGTATGACTTTGATGGACTAAACCTTGCTAGCGATGGCCTCCAACCTAGCCAACCTAATTGACCGGCGCATGTGACAGTTCCTGCCTTGTCCTTTTGGTGCCAGATGGAGCTCCCTGGCTTGACGGTTCTGTCTTCGACTGCAGTGTTCTTCGCAATGCTTGCGTGTTGTGTGTGACTCGACGAAGCTTGCTGGCTGTGAAGCTAATTTACTACATATTTGCCGGTTGCTCTTGTTCAACTGCCTTGCAATCACTTTAGATACTCAGTGGGCTGCTGCTTGGCGGGCGCCTTTCCCAAAGGCGTGCCCTTTGTCTCAGTGACAGGGCTGAATTAAGTGGATGTCATCTGGGCTATGGCAGCTTTTGGCCTCCTTTTTGATAGACAAGGTCTACGAAGGCTACAGTTCGTCGAAGTCTGTACTAAGGAAGTGGCAGAGCTCACCTTAAGAGACACGCGGCCCAAGGTGGGGAGGGTGGGTGGATTTCTGCATCCTGTTAAAACACATGTTTCAACATTATGTCATTTCAGCAAATTCATAAATCTAAAATTTTGTGAATGTTAGGAGGTCTTGTCCCCCAAAAAGATGTGCAGAAAGTAACATTGAACGGTTGTAGCTTCGGTGGGGCACGTTCTGCCGCAGCGGTGGGACGCCAACAGAGCGTCACTCTGGAGGAATCCGACTCAACCGACTCCAAGGACTCCAAATGAGCACCGCACATGTTGAGCCAAGCACAGCATGTGGAGCATCTTCACAGCATAGCACTTGCTGGCGAGTTTTTGTGCCGTGAAGATATGTGCATAATTACCGAAAGCGGCGGCTTGACAAACTGAAGCTGTCTCCTGTGCTTTCAGTGTTCCACCCAGATGAGTCTGTGGGTTCTCTGGCTTCTCATTGTGTACTTTCTTTCTTCTGGCAAACGCATTTGATCATAAGATTTCTATCGAATGCAGACAAACAAGCTACACACATATATTATATTAATATAATATATACACCTGATCCTTTCTAGCACACTATTATACTATTGGCCGACATGGAAGTACAAATCCCTTCTCACATGTAGACTCATGTAGACTTACTCCCACACCACACCATTTAGAGGATTGCTAGTTGTTACGGTTACCGTCACACATTTTTTAGGATCTTTGTATGCTCTTCATTTAATATTTTGCTCCTTTGTTTCAGTGCAGAAGACCTGCGAACAATCTAACTGGACTTATCTGGATTTTGTGATTTGATTGAATCTTCAGCTCCACCGCGCAGGGCGGTGTGTAGCTTCCTTGCTCTCTCCATTCGAGGGACTTCTTCAGCGCAGTGATCCCTTGGGGAAGAGACCTGCACTTGTGTAGCCCGCATGTTCAGAGCGATACAGAGTGTGTGGGCGAGGGCCAGAGCAAGTATGTAGCAGCACCTCAATTTTCCTAAGGCAGACACTATGATTACAAAAAAGCAACGCCGGCGAATGCACTATTGAGACCCCAGCATAATGCATTGTACCCTGAACGCCGGACCCTCGAAAACAAGGCCACAACAGTCGTGCACGAAACGGCCGAACAAACGATACGAACGATGAAAGCATTTAACCTTGTTACTTGTTACTAGTAGCTTCTAGCTACTAGTAGCGATGCCCTTGTCACTAGTAACTAAGTAGCTTCCTCCCTCCGCGTGATTTCATACTATGATGGAACTTGCCCACCAGTTGAACATGCTCGTTCACCAGGTTGTCCTGCAGGCTTTTTTTTGGGATCAGCTTCCGTTCCGTTTCGAACCCGTCGCTTTGTCTCGCTTGAGTGGGGATCCATGAAGTTGCCTGGTGGTCATTAGTCATTTCTTTTGCAGGTTTACAACGCCTTCATGTTGTGGTTCGCGAAGGGTTCGAAGCAATTTTCCGCGGTGGATTTGCTCCATTTGTGCTGCACTGTTTTTGTCCAGAACTGCGGACAAAGCTTTTCCTGGTTTGTACAGTGTGGCTCTATGCGCGTCACGTGCAGCCGGTGGAAGGTCACTCTAAGGGTTGATGGGCGATAGCTCAGATTCTTACAGGTAACAGATGCCAAACCTGACACTTTGAGTGAGTCTACATATGGAACCAATTATGGCTATTGCACTTGCACTATATTCTTGGCAATCAGCACTTGTCCATCCAACCACTAGGGGTTGGAGTGACGAATTCGTTGCAGCGCATCAACAAAGAATGTGGCATCAAAGGACTTCATGAGAAGAACTCAGAGTGATTGGCCTTGATTGTGCAAAGTGCAGTATCAAGATGCCAGATTCTTGACGTATTTTCCACCATGCGGCTCTGGTAAACCAGTTCTGCCAAGATGCGGCTGATCTTTACTTGCCAGACACAGACCCTTCAGATTACAGAACACATGAAAAGAAACGGATGGATGAGATGCAACTGGAAGAAACAGGTAAGTCCAACTCTGACACATTCCCCTGCTCTTGGCTTTCGAGAAAGTGCTGTCCCTGTCAATGAACAGCGTACAATGCTTTGATCAGCCAGGATTGATCGAACAGCGTCGTCGATTTCGCTTCAACACCCACTGGCACCAGCGGTGCTCTACAACACGTGGTGATGTGAAATCTACAGTAGAAAGGACTGACATAGTCACCCTGCCCAAGCCTTCCCATTAAGTTTCCCTAAAAATCTAGGAACCAAATTGTTGGCGTGAGCTATCCTGCGTCCTACCTAGGAGCTTCCTATTGCTAGTAGCGAACTACTCTTACTAGCGAACTACTCCCTTACTTAATTAAGTAGACGCCCACTATATATATATATAATGAGTAAGGAGGCAGGGCCACGGACCAAAACAACAAGAATAATGAGCCAGGTGTGGTGTTAAAACTTGAGAACCTTCCAAGGAAATACACGGCCATTGACCGCGTCAACGCCTTCCTTCGAGAGCAGTCTGGTCTGGACAGCGAGGTGCCAGACCCAAAGCGTTGCCCTACAGGGTCACTTGAATCGCGAGAAGTTTCTGTGGGTGACTCGAAACAGCAGAATGTTTGCGGAAGTTGTTGAGAGTATTTGCTTTGACTCCTTTTGACTCCTTACAATAGATTTGAGGGTCAAATCTTCCATGACAGAGGGGTTGAGACATGTTTTTGGGTCGCTCGGTCTTTCTGTTGCGGCGTGCACAATTCCACGGAGTGAGTCGTGGAGCGAGCGCAACTGGGTCTAGGAGCTGGATCCTTATCTCTTCAACTACTCGGGGCATGATGCCATCAACCACCTCTTCGAGGAGCGGGCATACTGACCCCGGCTCAAGACTCGAATGACATGCAGAGCCGGACAACGGGAACCCCAAACCACAGAATGTAGGCTGTATCACAGCAGATTTCTACCAGTACATGACACACAGGTCTCAAACATTCTTTCACTTTAGAGAATGTTTAACGTTTTTTTGGTGGATACGTGTGCATTCGCACCAGTTCTATTATGTCGGATGACATGAGTCTTGGGTTCCAACCTTCTAAGCTGATATTGGCGCCATGGCGCCACACTTTCTACTCAAGCATGCAACAGTGGATGTGAGCCTCAGCCCTCCGATTAAAGGAATTGATGCTTGGAAGTTGCCACTCACCCCCTCGCAGTGTCTTGGGGTACAAAAACTACGATATCAAGCTTTAAATCTGAAAGCATAGTGTTGCTTTGCGCAGCAGAGCTCCGGCGATGCTCCGAGCGAGGTGAGTTCTGGTCTTGACTCATTGGTTCTTGGTGAGGCACAGGATGCAGACCGTGCAGAGAAGGGTCTTGTTTGCTGCATAGCTTTTCGATAACCTAAGAGCGATGGCCTCCAACCTACTGCGATGGCCTCCAACCTAATAGCGATGGCCTCCAACCTTTTGCTACATAGTTGTGCTTGTGTTCGGTGACATTGGTTTTCTTCCGGGACAGATTTTCTTGGTCTCCAAGCCTTTTTTTCAATCTCGGCATCCTTGATGTGAGCAAGAAGACTGACCTGAAGGACCTAGCCTATAACAGTGAGCACTTTATCCTTGAGACAGTTTGCCATCGGCCACGAGTTCAAGGTTCACTGCAGTGATGCTGAAAAGCATAATCAAAAGCTGCCCAAACGGTGGATGACTTTTCTATTCAACTGTTCCCATTGAGTCTCCCACCTTCGCTTTTGCATTGGAGAAATTCACTACCAGGTGCACACACTCTTTTTGTTTGCAGGTGAGGAATGCATAGTCAGATAGAACAAAGGCGAGTCTTGAATGCCCAGTGGATAAATCAACTTTCAAGAAAAATAGACGGTATGTTGTGACACCTCCACGAAAGATCAATAAGCATGCAGACAGTCTGAAAGAAGTAGCACTTGTTGCCATGTGTTTTCGAGACCAGCTGCTGTGCTATTTGGTTGCACATCTGTGTTCTTTGGTGGATGGGGCTCTTAATGTCGAGCAGATCTTGGAGGAAGCCGTGTTAAGTTTACGAGAGAGAGTCTACATTGCAGATGGCCTTGTTTACAAGGCTAGTACGGCTGCTTGTGACTCTGTGGCTGATGGCCCACATTGTACCCAGTCCTTCTCAGCTGTGACTGACGGGATCTTCTCAAGTCGCCTATTATCGTCTTCTGATGGCGGTGAAATGTTGGATGAATACTTCCTGGGCGCCAGCTTGAAGGCCAAGGCCAAGGCTAAGGCGGGCGTGGAGACGGCCAAAGCATCCAAAGCTCCCAGCCGAGAGCCGTCCTCTCCGAAGCAGCGTGGCCGCTCGGCCATCCTGGGCTTTCGAGGGATGCAGCCATGGCAGCAGCACTTCCCAACAAGCTTTGCAGGCACCAGGCGGTTGGGTGGTGGAATTCCCTTCCAGGTGCACTGGGAAGGCCCATGGGACTTGGTGGAAAATCCATCTTTTGAAAACGATGCCGTGAAGCGTGGTCGCTTTGTAGCCCAGCTGCAAGGTTCTGTAGGCCGAATTCGCTTTGGGCGACCAGTAAGTCTCCAGTCCGTTGATCTTTGCCGTACGTCCTGCGGTGCGACCTCGACCTCCAAGCCACCCACGCCATTGTTGGTGAAAGGCCGACATGCCGGGAATGAAGTCTTCAGCGAGGTGGTGCCCAATTGGGACCTTCGAACGTTCGTCAACGGAGTGGCCTTTTTTGCCCT